ATTATACACAAGAAAGTAGAGTAATAACAGCCCATTCAACCCCAGCTACCACCAAAATGTATAGCTGTAACATCATGATATAGCTTTAGGCTAGCCTGTGTTACCATAAGTACTAACGCGATAGCTCAACACATAATCTTGGCAAGCCAAAGCTCCTGAATGCGCGAGTTGATTCTTCACGCGTCGGAAAGCAAGCCTGTCTGTACGGTAGGCAGAAAACACAACCATTTTTTTTTTTAATCCAATAAATGAAGCAAAACTAACACGACTCCTCACCAGCTTGTGTGTTAGATCCGGTTACAACCTGCAACCAACAGTATTTGATTATACGAGCCTCCGTCGGGCTCTTTCCAACCTGTTCCCCTGACTCGAACAGACTGTGAGGTTCGGTTTTGACGGACGTATGACTCAACCAATCAAAGACTAGAAAATTCTAAGGGATCGGCCTTAGGCTGCATTCAAGTACTCCGAAAAATATTATATTTAAAACCCGTAGACAAGACGAGTTATTGGAGAGAAGCGATTTTTTTTTATCATTAGTCGCAATTTCATTTAAAATGCTAAACGGAATACATTTTTCAGCGAGGTTTATTAATATGTTCTATTTCTCCTTCATGTTTATTCGCTAAATCTTGTTTCAAATTGCCTACAACTGGGGTTGGCTAATTTTCAGAATTTCCTGAAGATGTTGAACTCAACCTTTACTGCTGTCGTAGTGACACATGATTTTCAAAACACTGAGCAATAGCAATGGCTGCTCGGTCACAAGTGTTTTATAATGTGATTTGCCCCTTTTGTTTAGGTCTTTATGTATACACAGGTACAAATTACTAACGAAGCCAACCATATACTTATATATTTACTCATATATTAACCACTTTCTACATAAAACTAGGTGTAAAATCCCCAATGCTTTTATCCACCATAGATCTCTGGGAGACAGAGGTTCAAAGACTACCCAATAAAGGTGTGTGCTCTTGGACCGGCCACTTGAGGGCACTCTGTTTTTATGGAAGCTTCACACGAACACTCCCAGCTCCAGCACATGCTACATGAAGTGACTTTCAAGCTTTAAATAAACACGATTTCATGATGTAAAACAGTCCTGCTGCCTAATTAGAATTACTACATTTCCCCCCTATAATTTAACCCTTATTCATGTGACCCAGACATGTAGATGAGTACAGACAAATCAAATGTAGTTTGAAGATATTTATTTCAGTGGAAAAAAACTCTTGTTTTTCTCCCTTTTTCTCATTCTTTGTTGTGAATGTGAATTTCACTAAAGTGTCAAGTGAAAAGTGTCAACACGTGCTCAAAGATATAACAAGAAAGACAGGATCCACTTCTCTGAGACAAGTGGCTCATGAGTGTCCAGTGTACATATATTGAATCCCCTTCTGAAAGCCTCTGCACTTAGCAATAACAGGAGATATGCAAATAGAAACAGGGGGGAGGGGCTGCAGGTAAGCACTCTCTAAGTAAGCTTCTATGCAGCAGGCATTAGCATTAACACGCCTCTGGGGTAGTGTGGTTCTTTTGCATTGACAGAGGCATATTTATAAATACTCTACCGGTACCATACGGGCTACTCTTTAGAGTTCTTACATAACTCGCTGGTTATGTGGAGGAGGAAGAGAGCAGCATCCAAGTACTGCTCACTGCCCACACACACACACACACAATGGAGAAAAAAGTGAAATAAAAAACGTGGAGGAGGGTGGAGAGGGAAAGAAAACATTAGATTTTGCAGTTGGAAGTCAGGGTCAAATTCTGCAGTGTGTGTGCTCTCTAATTGTCTTCATGACCGCAGCACATGCTGCATGTGTACGAGTGATTATCCCAAAGATCACAATGATTTTTGGCAACACAAGTTTTAACACAAACAGGCCTGATCTTATAGATTTCTTTTCATTAGTTTTGAAGGAGAAGCCTCGGATAGTAACAGTACAATTAGCCAAGTACTTTACTGAATTACAGCTTCCCTGTGCTTCTAATTTGTTCAAGTATTTCTCTGTTTCTGCTGCTTCGCATTTCAGCACCACTGTATTTTGGATGACAACACCATTCTTTGAAGGCTATATGTGCGGCTAACAGATGTTGTTCAAGACAAAACTACCCAGCAGCATATTAGTAATCAAAATAACTCCCACCTATAATATCAAATTGATGTACATGTTAATAAATCAAATGTTATGATCCATTAAACTTCATGCACTTGATTCTGCATAATTGAAGTGCATGTCGAAGCTAAAACATTTCAAAGTACAAGTACTACTTCTACTTAAAGGGTGTAAATACCCATTTCTGTACTTTGCAAAGCAGTTAGGCTGCTCGGTGCAAAGCCAATTTCATGTCCATCCATCCATCCATTCGCTTCCGCTTATCCTTTTCAGGGTCGCGGGGGGCGCTGGAGCCCATCCCAGCTGTCATAGGGCGAGAGGCGGGGTACAACCTGGACAGGTCGCCAGTCTGTCGCAGGGCCAACACACAGGGACAGACTCACTCGCACATTCACACCTAGTGACAATTTGGATTATCCAGTTAACCTATCCCCACAAGCTGCATGTCTTTGGACGGTGAATTTCATGTCATATTTCATATATTTGTATGAGGAAAGAAGGAGCTGAAAAATTGTGCCCAGTGTTTTTGTTCACCACATTTACTTCTGATCAAAGAATCTGAATTCCCGTGCCACCCCAATGAAATCAATAAGTTCTAATCAATAAGTAATTTTTAATTAAATTAACAAGCTTCAGTGGTGTGGCACAGTTTTGGGTCGGTCAGCCTCAGAGCAAGACAGTCATGTAGGCGTGAATGTGAGCATAAAAAGTTGTCTTCTCTCTGTGTTGGCCGTCTATCCAGGGTGTAGCTGCCTCCTGCCTCCTGACAGCTCGGACAGGCTCCGCCCCACGATGCTGATTTGGATAAGCAGAAGAATATGAATGAATGAATGAATGGATGGATGAATGAATGAATGAATGGATGGATGAATGGATGGATGGATGGAAGATCCTGTAAGCTATGCTAAGCTAAACTAACTTGCTGGAGGTAGTAAAATCATATTTGTAGTATTTGAGCTAATGCTCATAATGACAACGTTGATAAACATGCCAACGGTTAGCAGATCTTTACAATCTTACTCCTGCTTTTAACATGTAAGCCATTGTTTAAAAAGCATCAATGTGAGACACTTATGGCTTTGTAGTAAAAATATAACTGCTTTGATGGCTTTTCTGAAATTCTTTCACCTATGAGATATTTAAAAAACTATTTTCTTTATTAAAAGTAGAGGTAGGTTTGTGTGAATGTCTTCTAGCTATCCTTGTCATTTATTGGTCACTTGGTCTGCTACTTGTCCCAAACGTTGGTCCCCTTTTGTTGGCATTCCTACAAAAATGTCGGGAAGTTCATCCAAGGTTAGCCTCAGCCCACTGAATTCACTAAGTTAAGCAATATCTTCTTACTGTGTGTTTTTAGAGAAATTATGTAAGATACTCATGTGACTTGACAAACTCAGACTAGTGAAGCCCCACGTAGCACCAGATTATTGTCCAGATTTTTGCACTGAACAAGGAGTGTGGGCTTTGTCTTTGAAGAGATCTCCACTGAGCAGTAATGCCAAACATCAGCTGCATTTGTGGTTTTGGTGCTGATTAGAAATTTCTAGCATTTTAGCATTTGGTTAATATTACTCTTGGCATTATAGCTGAAAGCACGTGTATGTATTTTCCTCTAAGTTTAAATAGTTGTTCATAAGATCACAAACACACGCCTATATCTTGATTTCATAAAAGTATATTTACACATATTATTAACATTAAAAAAACATCTGAATTAAAAGACTTGAGCAGTGTGTGACTCAGTTACCTATCGATATTTACACAACGATTAAAAATATCAATGGAAAAAAGATAAAGGTGAAAATGAAGCATTGGCCAAACAGCTGGTTAAATATATTACATTCAGAGATTCTCATAGATGCTAATCTGAAGGTGCTGCTGAGCATGCACCTGCTCAACTTGTCTGTTTTAGTCGTGATACATGGTCAGAGCTGCCATCCCCTCTGACCATGTATCATTCCATCATCATCACAGTTTTTCTTGCTACTGTACTAAACAAGTTATCAATAACTTTTTTCACACTCCATCTTCTCTAAACCACACATAGCGGTTAGCAAGAGGAAACTTATTTATTATGATGATAAATCACAGAAGCTTGTTTGCCTGCTAATGTTAGCTGTGCTTACACACAAAGTGCAGACTGTAAGTCGTCTCAGAGCAGTGAAAGTAGAGACAGCAGCAACAAGCTGGTCTCCCATCAGTTTACCATGAAAGAGCAGTTGCTTATTCACAATGTGCAAACCACCAGAAAGAAGTGTCTAGCTTCTCAGCTTGATCAGCTCAAGTAACGGGAAATGGACGTGCGGGTAAAATGGAGACAACTTAAGTTTCCTATGAGCACAAAACAAGTGGAGCTTTCAGCAACAATAACTCATTGCAGCACAAGATGGCAGAAAGGTAATCAGCTAGGAGCTTTATGACCGCTATGTCTATTTTTGGATTTGACAAGGTAAGCACTGATTGCCTTGCTTGCCCTGATGGAATGCCATTGGTATATGGAGCTATATGGGTGGGGGTTTAATTTCCTCAAAAAATGTTTTATGTAACACAATATAGTGGGTTAAATGAACAAAGTGCTGATCCTAGTAGTATTTATCCAATACCAATGCCAAGTTTATTAGTGATACTTGCCTTGCCTTGAGGCCTTAAACATCTATGTAAAAAAGAAGGTAAGTTTTAATACAAATCTGAAATTGTTTGTGTCGTGCAGCTTTGAATTCAGTCTAACTCTTAGGCTAGAATGCAGGTGTGTAGTCTGATAAGACTTCATCGCGCCAATAAGCAGAAAGGCGTGGCACACCTCCACTCTCTCTGTGTCTTCCTCAATAAATCTCTGCAGCCTCTGCCACAGAAACAGGGCCAGAGAGAGAGACGAGGAGGAGGCGGGAGAGCATCGCGCTCCTGGTCCGCCCACAACTTTCAGCACGAGCCATTTAGCAGTGTGAGCTGGCCCAGCTGTAGAGCGCGCGGGCACGTGCACGTGCCCCCCTTCACTACCTCTGCACACCCCTACCCACCCACCCCACTCGGAGAAAATCATTACCAAATAGCGAGCGCGAGCGCACGCGGAGCTGTGGCTGCAGCCGCGTCACCGCTGGGCTGCGTTTACGACGTAAAGCACACGAGCGGCACATCCTCGGCAGATACGAACAGGCGCGCACCCGCCTTCAAACGCACAACCATTTACGCGCAGTGTGTCTGAGCCTGCGAGGCTTCTCCGTTTGACTCCTTCCTCCCGGTGACCGTCGGTTAATCGTTTAATATCGAGGGCAGCTGCAGCGGGGGTGAGACCGAGGAGCCGGTGAGGCGAATCCTGGAACCCCCACCTCTCATCCGCTCCGTCAAAATACGACGCACGCGACGACGCCGCGCGGCTGCTGGGATCTCGAGCGGCCCGTTAGCCTCCGGTCCCGTCTCCATTCAGCAGCGCTGCACGTAGCCGTGGGAGAACCCGAGAGCATCCCTCCATCCCACCCAGCCTATCCCCACCCCCCTCCCCTCTTTCTCTCCCCCCCCTCTCTCTCTCTCGCTTTCAGCCCCTCTGGACCCGTGCTATGCCGGAGCTCTAGGGGAGAGAGGAGGGGGGGTCTCATCAAGCCAGGGACCTGGGGGGGTGGGAGGAAGGAGGCTTTTCGTGGCCGGGGTGTAGACGTACCCTCCGCGTGGCGAGGCGCCTCTGTATCGGAGGATGCTGGAATAGAGCGGCCGAGCGCGGAAGATGGGAAAGGACCAGGAACTGCTGCAGGCGGTGAAGACCGAGGACCTGCTCACCGTGCAGAAGCTGCTGCAGAGGCCCCGGCCAGGGAAAGCAAGTAAGACAGTCGGTTCTCTCCCACTGCAAAGATGAGAACACAGCTGTGGATTTCTGTTGAAACCCTCCCCTATAGATGCCCGTGTTGAGCCATGGGCAAAAGCTTTCTCTCACATAGGAGCTGTTCACCGCTGAGATGATGGTGATGTGTGGAGGCTGCATGTGTGAGTCTTCTGGGAGACAGGGGTTTGCATGCATCGGGGTGTATCCGAGAAGATTAGTGGTGTGATTGGAGAGTGGCAGCGCATCTTCAAACCCCTGTCTCTGTACACTGCAGCACAGAGAGAGGGAGGGAACACAGCGTGTGTGTGTTTGGATCTGTGTGTGACCCTGGCTCTCCAGTGACATGATACTGGTGGCCGTGTGATAGTTAAGGTTTCAACATCACAATCAGTGTGACACGACTCCCAGTGTTCTTCTTTTATCCTGCATACTGCAAGGCTCGCTTCACGACTGCTCCTCTAATGGTTTTTTTCTCCTTCAGGCAGTGTAGCACTACAACATCCAACAATGTTTCACTTGCACAGCCCACTCTAATGTGTGGGCAATACAGAGAGAAGCCAGAGAGAGCTGCAGATAGATCATTCTGTAGAGGCTGGCGGTGGCTTGCTGATACTTCCACTGATATATAACTGGCTGGTCCAGTTGTGAGCAGACAGCGAGGGGTAGCGTACAGGCCGAGCTGCAGGAGGTAGAATTTGCACAAAGGCATAACAAGTAATTCAGCTTTAACTCTTGTAATTATTTTTATAAAAGCTAGTTGACACCAAGCCTATTATCCAATTACTATAATTGTTCTGCTTGGGCAGGTACGCAGCAGCATCTGAATTGGTGCTTACACTGGAAACAGCAGGTGGGCCTCATTTGAATAAGAAGAGGCCATGCTAATGACAAATAATGGTCCACATTTGAGCCCCTATTGCAAGTGATGACTTTATAAATTCACTTGTCAGTCTGTTTGTGTACTGAGTAACACTAGAGCTTTATTGTACTTCTTGACCTCTGTGTATTTAAAATGACTGGTGTTGGCTAACATAGCGGCTGAATATTCTCTTCTTGAAGACGCTGCACATCCACTCCTAAATATTGTGCTTACAGCCACTAGATTAGTTGGAACTACGTCTTAAAATAATATCTAATCGGCCAATTACATCACAGAAAGGAAATGCATTTGTCATATTTAAAATCCACATCCTCACATGCATGGTTTTGATTAATCAGTCCTCATCTTATCTTAAATACCTCATAGTACCATATCCCCCTATTAGAGCACTTCACTCTCAGACTGTGGGTTTACTTGTGGTTCCCAAGATATTCAAAAGTAGAATAGGAGGCAGAGCCTTCAGCTTTCAGGCCCCTCTTCCGTGGAACCAGCTTCCAGGTTTGACTCGGGAGTCAAACACCCTCTCTATTTTTAAGATTAGGCTTAAACTCTCATTTTTGATAAAGCATATAGTTAGGGCTGTACCAGGTGACCCTGAATCCTCCCTTAGTTATGCTGCAATAGTTCTAGGCTACTGGGTGCTTCCCATGATGCACTGATGCACTTTCTTCCTGTTAAAGGGGAGTTTTTCCTTCCCACTGTCACCACATGCTTGCTTTTAGGGGATTGTCTGATTGTTGGGGTTTTCTCTGTAATATTGTACCTTACAATACAGAGTGGTTTGAGGGGACTGTTGTTGTGATGTAGCTCTATATAAATATAAACTGCATTGAATTCATAAGGTTGTAACTTCCCATACCCCATTCAGTCGTCTATTTCACTCTGTATGAGACCATAAACTACAAAAAGAGCATTATATTGTTAGTTATTCTAGCAACTGAAAACAGAAGCTCGTCAGGAGGGTGTTTACTGGGATTAAAATCAAATAAGAAGCAGGACCATTTTTACCTTGAGTTCAATACAACTGGATTTCTTCTGGGAACCAGTTCAGTTGACCCTACTGGGCATGAAAAAGATTGCAGGTTTAAGATGCTTATCCTTCATTTTCAGACCTGAAAGCTCTTTTCTGTCTTTTTCTGGGTCAAGAGGACCTGCTGAAGTTCAAAGCACGAAAAGGGGAAGAAAAGTCGATTTAGGGGAGTTTGAACGTGTCGTGGCTCTCGGTGTCAGATGAGCTGATTTAACCTTTTTAGAAACTCGTGAGCTGTTGGGATTTTATGCACACAGAAAAAGGGATAGAGAAAGAAGATAGGTTTAAGTGAGAAGTGGTTCTCTGGGGGAAAGGTCTCATTCGGTGACATAGCTTAGAGAAGCATGACCAGATGTGTTTGAGGCGTGCAGAAGAGCGTTTCTGAATGCACAACATGTTAAAGCTTTGAAACAGGAGCCCACATTGGAACCAATTGACTCAGCTAAAAACTGGTAACTACAGCTGCAGCTGGACAAAACTGGGCATAAAAAGATCTCATGAGTCTTGATTTCTGCTGCAATATCGATACTTTAACATGAACAGCGTAAAGGATGAGAACCTTTAACGCTGTTGATGGTTTCTTAGTGTGGGGGATATTGTCTTGGCACACTTTGGGCCACTTACTGCCAATTGAGCATCATTTTTAGCCGGTGCTGTTCATAATCATGTCCATTCCTTTTTATCTTTCCATGGCTACAGTGTTCTCGGCCACTTTAACAGGAAAATGTGCCACATCACAAAGCTCACGTCATCAGTCTAGTTTCTCGACGATGACAATGAGCTCGTTGTACTAAAGTGGCCTCTGCGCTCACCAGATCAGGGTGGTGGTGTCATGGGAGAATCGCATCATGGAAGTGGTGCCCTGTGCGATGCTATCATATCAATAAGCACCAGAAACCCGGAGAAATGTTTCCAAGAAACTTGTTCAATCCATACCATGAAGAATCAAGGCAGTTCTTAAACCCAGCCCAGTACAAGCCAAGCAGAACTTCAAAGTAGTCGGTGGACCATTAAAGATGTAATAAAAGTGGAGCAGCGGCGACCTGACCAGCCTAGAAGTGAGACAAACATCCCACCCATCCAACTCCTATGTGTGTTTAAGTTCTTTTATAAGTCGCAGGGTTCTGTACCTCAGACGGCAGTGCTCACTCTGCAGGATTAAGCGAAGCATATGGCTTCATAACAGTGTGTAGCAATTAGCGGGGTTCACTGCATTGATGCAGGCGCTGGAACAAAAGTCTACAGCAGAGCAGGAAACCCCCTGGATTATAAACAGTCTGTCTACTGCAGAAAAAGACAGGCGTGACTAGAGCAGGGCGATATGGCCAAAAATATTTATCACGATATATATTTGAAAATTTGTATACATGGTTATGCTCAGGATATGTCAGCCCATTTCTACTGGAAATGCCTTTTGGTTAAACTTTCAGCAAGGAATTTGCATTTGCACTGTTACATTTTTATAAAGCTTTAATGTACATAAAAACCAGCTTCTTGTTTAAGTGAAAATAAATGGAAGGTTGTCTTTTTGCGCTAGTAATGTTGTGGAGCTGTATTTTGTCTCGCATCAATTATATCGTCAGTTATATCGTTATCG